GCCATCGCTGGTAGGTTGGAGGCCATGGCTGGAGGCCATCGCTGGTACGTTGAAGGCTATTTCCTCTAGGTTGGAGGCCATCGCTGGTAGGTTGGAGGCCATTGCTCTTAGGTTGGAGGCCATCGCTGGTACGTTGAAGGCTATTTCCTCTAGGTTGGAGGCCATCGCTGGTAGGTTGGAGGCCATTGCTCTTAGGTTGGAGGCCATCGCTAGTAGGTTGGAGGCGATTGCTATTAGAAACAACGAAGAAAAGCAAAGGAAGAAAGGTCGAATGTGCAGTGGTAATGGGGTGAAAGGTGGTGTTGCGATGATGTCGTGATGTGATGCCTCATATGCGGAGACGTTTGGCTTTCAGGTTGACATTGGTGAGTTGGCGAAGTAGTGAGCCGGCTGGCTAGTGATTTAGAAAAAACTTGCTGCCCATCATAGTCAGAGTCTAGTGTCTATTCCTTCCACACTTCCCTCGACTGCTGCCACTGCTGCTGCTGCAACTCCTCCTCTTCCTCGTACTGCTGCTTCTACTGCTTCTAGGGCTCTTACTGCTGCGGCTATTCCTATTGCTCGTGTAATTAGCACTGCCACAGCTGTTGCTGCTGGTGCTTCTACCACCTCATGAACGGTACTAGTTGTGGATTTAGACTTAGATCTTTTGGGTCTTGATTTAGGTCTCGGAGTCGTCCTTTGGAAGTTGCCTTAGGACTGTATGGGTCTTTGGTGTTCTCTTACTAGTAGCGATGCCCCTTGTTACTAGTAGCTTCTCGTTCCGAGTAGTAAGGCCAGGAGCTACTAATAGCATTGCGATCACCTGAGTTGCCTTGATCTCTGCCGCTGTCCTAAGTTTTGCAACGGATAGGCATTGAATGGCATAACCATTGCTGCGAGGAAGCCAGCAACGAATTTGATTGGGCACCGTAACAGGCACGCTCCAATTTCAGAAGCTGGCAGCTGTGAAACGACCAATGGGTTATTCAACTGCATGGAATTGGAATTCACATCTAGCGCAATCTACGGAAAGGACTGGGAAAACGCAAAAAAGTAGTAAAGCAAGAAGCTACTAGGGGCTCCTGGCCTTACTACTAGGAGCAAGGACGCTACGAACGGGGCTCCTGGCCGTACTAGGAACAAGGACGCTACTAGGGGCTCCTGGAAACGCTACTAGGAGCAAGGACGCTGCTAGGGGCTCCGTTCGTAGCGTTGAGGCGCAATCGGTTCTCTCATTTGATGAGGTGGCCCTTTCTCAAGGCGACGGCGTTGGACGTACCTGGCGCTGTGACGAACTAGCGAAGGCTTGGACTGAAAGTGAGGGCTTTCTTAGAACACAAAGAGGAAAGAAACAAAGCTACTAGGAGCAAGGACGCTATTGCGGGCTCCTGGCCTTACTACTAGGAACAAGAAGTTATTAGGGGCTCCTGGCATCGCTACTAGTAGGACTAGTTACCGGTCCCCTAAATGGAAACGAGAAGCTAGCAACAAGGACGCTATTAGGTGGAGGCCATCGCAAGTAGGTTGGAGGCCAGTGCTACTAGGAACAAAAAGGAAGCTACTAGGTGCTCTTGGCATTACTACTGGTAGCAAGAAGCTACTATATAGTAATTAAGGAAAAAGAAAGAAAGAACGCTTTGAATACTAAATGAATACGTTCATTGCATTGTTTGAAGCATTCTTTCCTCAAGACAAAGAAAGAAAACGTGCCTTTACCGACCCTTCTTTAGACCTTTCGAATCCTTGAGGGATCCTTGAAAGCTTCCTTTGTCCTTTTCTGTTTTTTGTCCTTTGTGTTCTATGTGTTGTTCCTTTTCTTTGGCGTTACACCTTCAGACCACTAACTGTACACTATATAACTCCTTTTGTCTTTGCTTCTTTGTTTGCTTGTTTGTTTCGTTTCTTTCTTTTCTCTTCTTTCTGTCTGTCTGTTTGTCTGTCTGTCTTCTGTTCCTATTTTCTGTTTTTTCTTGCCTTTCCCTTTGCATTTTCCAAGCGGACCACGCTGACCACTGTTTCTAGTGCCAGTGGCAGTACCACTCTCTCCCTCTCTCTGTCTGTCTCCCTCCTGGCGTAACACACAAGGAAATCACTGCGAAGCAAAAAATGAAAATAAAAATAAGAAATCACATGTCTTTCCCAAAGAAAAAGGCTTTGTCTGAGCCTGGCCTAGGAAAGGAAGCCTCCGTGGCTTCATAATGCAGGAGCGTGCCTTGAACAAATTTCGACGTGCACTGTTCGTGGATATATGTTTATGTATCATTATATAGACGTGCCGAGAAAAGCTCTGTGTTTTGACCCGGTTCAACCCTCCAAACCCATGTGCTCCAAATTCTTCGGGGCGATGTTGCAAGCTAGGTAGGAACAAGTGCCACGCTAGTAGTAACAAGTGCCTTACTAGTAGTAACAATGTTCGCTATTAGAAACAAGTGCATCGCTACTAGGAGCAAGGACGCTACTAGGAGCACGGGACAGCCCATATGCCATATACAGTAACCTGTCCACATGCTGCAGTTGTGCAGGCATTGTGCAGAGACAGGGTCAAGACAGTTGTCGCAGTGTGTTTGGTTCACTTTGGGCTCCCTAGCAATCACTCTAGAGAAGCATCAAAATGGACACTGGATTGAGTTAGCTAGGCCTTAGTTATTAGTTTGGAGGCCATCTCTACTTGGGGGTTAGCTAAGCCTTGGCTGCCAGGTGCGCACTGGCTATCAAGAAAGCTGGGATTTTTACTTGTTTTGCTTGTTCCCATCTGTGCTGCGGTAGAGGCTCTCCAGAAAGATTAACGTTAAACATTGATTTATCCATCAGTTGATCCTTCATATTCATATTTTGGTGTCTTGGTCTGACGGACGAGAAATGTGGACCAAAGTCTCCGTCAATTACGCACGGCACGGGGACAATTGCGAATCTTTATATGTTGGTTTTATGCTTTTTGGCCCACCCCTGCTTAATTAAGCAAGGGCGACTAGTTAGCTTCTAGTAACTGGATGCAGGATAGCTCACGCTTCTTCAAGGAAGCTCCCCACTCCCTCGCGCTCGCACTAATGATTTGGTTCCTCATCATGGCTTCATGCGCTTTCTTTAGCACGCCGATCACGCCTTGACATCTTGATCGTATTGCACTTCTAGTTCAGAAGGTGTTCTGTCATTTATGTGCTTGTTGGAGGACCAAGTAAGCTTCATCGCAAATTGTGGACTTGGGAAAGTTGTGGCATGCTTTTCGCACAGTTCTGAAGGCTCTTGAGAAACATGACTGACGCTGCTTGTGTGGCTCAGAAACCTCATTGGCCCCTTTGCTGGCGCCCTGTGACTAATCAGTAATCTGTGTCTCTCTGGTCCAAGAGAATTCTACTACACTAGTAGTGGCTTGCAAGGTGTTGGTGAATATGCACTAGTCACTTGAACTTCTTGGCTGTGCATGTCCCGTTGTGCAGTTCCTTTTCACATGCAGATCCAATGAAAGCCACCTCCGCGAAAAGATGGGGGAGGCCATCGCTCTTAGGTTGGAGGCCATCGCTTCTTTAGGTTGGAGGCCATCGCTACTAGGTTGGAGGCTATCCCTACTAGGTTGGAGGCCATTGCTCTTAGGTCGGAGGCCATCGCCCTTATTGGAGGCTATCACTAGTAGGTTGGAGGTCATCGCTCTTAGTTTGGAGGCCATCGCTCTTGGGTTGGAGGCCATCGCCAGTAGGTTGGAGGCATCGCTGTTAGGTTGGAGGCTTTCGCTCTTAGGTTGGAGGCCATCGCTCTTGGGTCGGAGGCCATCGCTACTAGGTTGGAGGCTATCTCTATTGGGTTGGAGGCCATCGCTATTAGGTTGGAGGCCATCGCTACTAGGTTGGAGGCCATCACTCTTAGGTTGGAGGCCATCGCTCTTAGTTTGGAGGCCATCGCTCTTAGGTTGGAGGCCATCGCTCTTGGTTTGGAGGCCATCTCTAGTAGGTTGGAGGCCATCGCTCTTAGGTTGGAGGCCATCATTACTAGGTTGGAGGCTATCGCTATTAGGTTGGAGGCCATCGCTTTTTAGGTTGCTTATAGTATTTTTCTATAAGAATTTTTGTATCAAAGAGCCATGTGCGGACGCCAAAACGTTCCTCAGACCTCTTGGGCTCCGCAATCCCGCCGGTGCTGACAGGCGGGTGCACTGCCAGTATGCTCGTTTTCTCTCACATCTTTTGAAGAAGCAAAGCTCAGAACTTAGAACCAGACCATTTCAATTGGTTGAGATTGCCGGTGAGGTTCACCATATCTGCACGGACAGCACACATCGCACCAGTGCAGGTGACAGGACTCAAACAAGCCCACCTGCCAAACCAGTCATGCAATGTGTTGACAGCGACCTGAGCATAAGTCGCACATTCAAGTAGGCGGGTTATGGTGTCTGAGAATTCCGATCCAATCGCACAGTCGCTATGTTGGTACATGTTGCTACTAGTAGCAAGGTGCCTTACTAGTAGTAACAAGCTAATAGTAGTAATGCAAATGGAGAGAAAACTTTGGGAGCTAGCCGCCTCCGTTCCATGCTGCTGCTCGTGCCTTTCAGCCTGCCCAGCCCGACCCGCATCATGTGCCAAAAAAATGGGGGCCTGATATAGCAAGGGAAAAAAGGCTTTAAGGAACCTACTAGCGATGGCCTCCAACCCAATAGCGATGAACTCCAACCTAAGAGCGATGGCCTCCAACCTACTAGCGGCTAGCGATTAGGTTCAATGGTCAATTGCAACTACCATATATCGTGGTCCTGTCAGTTTCCATCAAAATATGTTGCTCAAGGAACTTCTTTTGACCCTGACATGTGAAAGGTCTCGTTCACTCAGGTTGGCCCGACCGAGAAAATGACAATGACCGCCTAAAAAGATTGTCCAAAAACAAACCTGATAAACGGCTTTGCTTTGCAAGGGAAAATCTTGTCGTTTACAAGGACGCTACTAGGGGCTCCTGGCCTTACTACTAGGAGCAAGGACGCTACTAGGGGCTCCTGGCATCGCTACTAGGAGCAATGTTCGCTACTAGGAGCATCTTGTCTTTTACTATCTGTCTGTTCTTCTCTCTTGTTTCTCTAGCGCCTTTTGGAGCTGGTGGACCTGACAGCAAACATCACAAGGCTCGCAGCTTTCGTCTAGGTGCGGTGTGGGGTGGAGCATTCGCTGAAGGACGTAAGTAACAACTCAAGTGGAATCACCACGTACAAGAGCTGCCGTGTTTGCATTGCAAGTGGCCCCCCCTTTGACGACCTACACGTTTAAAGTCATGGGTTCTCAAGGTCTAATGAGTCTAATGACTAATGAGTCTAATGAGTCTGGCTCCACGTGGCTGAAAATGGTTTGACGGTTGAAGACCGTTACGTTGCCCACCTCTTTCTGCAAGGCGTCCAGCTCTTGGGACACCCGCAGGACATTCTGCAAGGCTTGCGGCAACCTGGGCAGGAGAGCAGCGGGAAGCAGCGGGAGAGAACGGCACTGCTAGAACAGGAGCAGTACAAAACCGACTGCTGGTGATGGTGGCAGTCGTCCCAAGAGTGGACAGCCTTCTAGCAGCATTAGGCAGTGGCCCAAGCATGAGTTCTGAAGTTGTATTGACTTGGGCAGGAAGACAAGTCCAAAGTTTATAAAGAAAAACGGAAAGAAAGAAAGAAAGAAAGAAGGATCGAAAGGTCCAAAGGTCTGAAGAAATACAGTAAAGAAGAAAAAGAATGGATGAAAGGAAGGAGAAAAAAATGAAGCTAGTAGTAACAAGTGCATCGCTACTAGGAGCAAGGAAGCTACTAGGAGCAAGGAAGCTACTAGGGGCTCCTGGCCGTACTACTAGGAACAATGTTTGCAATTAGAAACAAGAATTAGAATATTCGGAACAAGAAGCTACTAGGAACAAGTGCATCGCTTCTAGTAACAAGTGCCTTGCTAGTAGTAACAAGAAGCTATTAGGAACAAGAATTAGAATAGAATCAAAGTTAGAAACAAGCAAAATGACATGGACAGGAAGCAGCTCCTAAGGACCAGACCCATCCGACTCTTCACTGGGGAGCTTGGTGTGCCGACAGTCCCTCGGCGTGGGGGCGCCCAACGGTGGGCAATCGCCTCCAACCTAGTAGGAAACTATGTTAGACCTTTCTTCCTACTAGTAGCGATGTTCCTAGTAGGGTCCTTGCTCCTAGCAGTAAGGCCCTTGTTACTAGTAGCTTCTTGTTACTAGCACGTACACACATACGTACATACGTACGTACCTACATACATACATACATGATTTATGTAAAACTTCCAATCGCTCCTCTTTTCAACCTCATGCTTGCAGGGTTCAACACGTATGGCCATCACGGCCATGTAGGGGCCATCAAGGCCACATCTTCACACCCACAACTTCCTCCCATAACTTCAGCTCAAGGCTCATCGCTCGACAACAGGGTATACCACGCACTGCAAGCTAAAAACTGAACTGGTCCAATTTCCTGTAATGTAGATTTCCATCACTTTTGCATTCACCCACTGGCATCTTCTTCTAACAAATTCTGAGTCCTCCGTGCACTGAAGCTGCCATGTCGCTCCGCCAGGTCTAAGAGACCCGGCGCCAAGGGTTTTGGACCCTTGGAAGACTCCGGTTTGCAGCGACAGTGCACGCAGTAAGTCTTTGAATCGCAGCCTGAAGGTAGCGGAGGAAAAAGACCACAACTTCTGGTGTGGCTTGGAATCTGCAAAAGCCATTTCCACAACAGCAAGAAGATCACCAATGTCAAGTTTTGCACTCTGATGCCTAGCAGCAACGAAACGAGTTTTTGGCTCCAGCAGCGACAACAAAGCAAATTTGTTTGTCCCCAATGTATCAGAAGGTAGGAGCAGGTCCTTCCACAGCGAGTTTGTCATCTCGCTCGTTCTCAAGAGAGCCCCCCATCCAAGTGCCAGCAGTCCTGCCATTACCATCCACACCCAAGGGCGACCGACAACATCGCTAAGAGCACCTGCCAAGGCATGGCGATATGGTGAGTTGGCCTCTCTTCTCGTACCCAAGCAAAGGCTGGGTCCCAAGCAGGCTGAAGCTGCCTCTTTAGCACAGGTTTGAACGATGCAATGCTGTTCACGGACTCAACATAAATGTTGTATGTCTTCCCTGCGTCATACAGTCTTCGCCCATACATTTGTTAGGATTGCATTGATCCTTTCAATGTGCAACAAGGGGTTCTCAAGCAGTGTACGGAGATTCAGGCCACACATGTCGCTCCATCTCAGCAAGTCTGCAAGCAATCTCTCACGGTCGCCAGCCGTCAGCTGGGTGACAGGCCGTCTTGAGGTAGAGGAGGTCTGTTTCGTCTCGTCGCCTGCCTTCTCCAGTCTCCAGGCGTGCGCGGTGCAATCATGGCTTCGCTCCTACCCACTAAGAACAAGACCAGACAGGGAGGGACGAGGCAGGACAAGCAGCAAGGTGCGAGGAAGAGTAGAGAGGACCCAGAAAGGTCCTTCGCCAGGATAGCCCATGGTGGAATCGAAATCCATATGATGGTAGAGAGTCCAAGGCAAATCAGGGATGGGCCTAGGAGAAGTCCACCGAAGTCCATGCAGCCGCCGATGTGGCGAGACAAGCGCAGCACCTCTGAAATCCAAGATACATAGCACTACCCTTAACCAGTTTGAAGCCCAACGACGAAGCTTAGGCATGGTGCATAGCGCACGGCAATCCTCTTCTGTCAGCTCATCGAGACAACAGGTTCTCCAAGCCGTTCGCACTTCACGATCTCTTGTAGGATCATCCGAAGTGTTCAATCTAGTTGGTACGAAGGGCAAGGTGAAATAAAGGCCAGCTGCAACACAAGTAGCGCCAAAACGCTTTATCAGCGGCGCCAGGGCTCGACGGATGCCCGCCCTTTGGAGGCAGCACAGCGAGTCACATTAGAATCGACAAAACTGACCACTCTCATCGAGCGAGGCGACCTGGCTAGTCGGACACCAAGACGCAGAAGGCTCTTCATCTCCAGAAGGTTTATGTGTCGTTTTGCAGAAAAATGTCCAAGCATCAACCTTCTTCCAAGTTCCGTTCTGAGCAACCAAATTGACAAGCTGGTTCTCAAGGCCAGAAGATACGTTGGGAGCATCATCCTGCAAAGCTGCTCTCCTCATCATAGCTGCCTCTTTGAAACACATAGCAAGCTGCATCGCCAAATCGCCTGTGTAGGAGGCAGAAGCTTTTGTATATTTTCCTTCAACTACCACACGCTCATGGTCACGACTGCACCTCCTTGCCAGACTGTCAATGTTCATGTTGGCAGCCAGGAACCGGAAGCTCTTCTGATGCGGTGCGCGCTGTTGACACCCTTTCTTTGCGTTCCAGAGCTTTCCACTGTCGCAGATACCTCATCATCGACGTCCAAGGTTGCTCACAAAGGCCAGGAATGTATAGCCTCCATGCTAATGTGAGAAGTGTCAGAGCCCGCAACGCCAGCACATTGCCCACATGAGTTTGATGACGACGCGGCTCAAAACCAAGTGGATCACTTTTTCCTCGCAGCGGAGGCCTCCGCATGATCGAGAAAGTAGTGCACACAGGCTCAACCATGATGCTTCCCAGGGATCCGGAAGTCAGCAGAAAACTAAGCCATGCCAAAACTCTCGGCAACAACAAGTCCAGCTCACCGCTCAGCGCAATGTCTATGGGAGGGCCAACCACAAGACCCAGGAGGAGGCCGCACTTGAAACCTTGGCAGATCCAGCGAACACCTCAATGAAGTCATAGTGAAAAGCAAGTGCCTTTTGGGGGGCAGGTCTGTAGGAGGAGCAATCTTGAAAAGATCTCTCATTTTCGTCTCCTTCTTCACGCAGACCAAGCCTGTCCAACAGCGGCTTTTGAGCCTAGAGTATGCGCCCTTAGATTTGCAGCCTCTCCACAACAACTGAGCAATCTGTTCAGGAACTTGCGCCGATGCGATGGCCCCTTTGGAATCGGAAGAATCTGTTGAAAAAAACCCTGGTTTCAAACACAGCCCCAATGTCAGCAACTGCAAGAATCCCCAGCACCGAGAGGACTGTCAGCTCATCTGCTATCCTTCTAGGCAAGGGGACCAGCTGTGGGTGTTCGCAGTCAATGTTCGCCGCGTCAACAAGGCCATGGGAATAGGAAAGGATACTCATCAATGGTCTCCTGTACATGATCATTGAAGTCCATGCCCCAACAATGCACATATGTAGAACATCTGTCGTCTTGGGCAGCTGAGCCACCTGCAAAGTCAGCCAACTCACAGCGAGGCGCTTGCATACAGGTGATCCAACTGTCGCAACAGCATTTCGAGCAGCTGTCAGAAGTATTGATCTCTGCTCCAATGACTTTGGCCCGGGTGTCTCCCAGAACGTCTTTGTGAGGAGATCCCAAAATCTTGTGCTTCGCATAAACAGCCTGGCTTAAGGAAAGCCTCGCTCGGATTCTGCAACTGCCCTCTCTTTTCGCAAGACATGCAAAAATCGTCATTGATCACCAACCCTTGACCAACAGTCCACCGGCCTGCAGAAGATGCTCATGGGCAAAGGTTGCCACTTCCACCCCAATGTGGTCACCCTGAAAAAGAGAAAACATACATGGACATCCTCCGTGAGGACAGGCCTAGGCTTGAAGAAAAATACTCCATGGTCATCATGAAGCCTATCACCAACAAACTCACGACTTGCAGCTGGGCTTTTCCTGATGGTCTGTCCATTTGTGAATCTATCGTGCTCCTCAAGGCCTCTAAGATCTTGTAGAAGGACGAGGACACACTGCGTTCTCCCTTGCTTTCTCGGGAGTCACCCAGAATTGATGATAAAAATCTCTTCTGTCTGTGGCAAAGACTCTGCAGGATTGTTTGACTGGATCCAGATGAAGATCAACCAGATCACTACCAGCCGGCAGGCGCCGGGATGGACCTTCCCATTTTCCTTCTTGCAGATTCATGCCCCGGCGGTCTCCGATCTGTCTGTCGACTTGCAGGTTCAAATTGTTAAAGACCCTCGTCTGGGAGAAAAGTGGCACATCCTCGTCGCTCAAAAATAGCAACCCACGTGAGTCCCAGAGTTTTGCAAGCTTCAACGCTTCACCAGCAGAGTCCGTTATCTTGGGGAACTCGCCGTCACCGGGTACATAGCCATTCCTCAACAACTGAGGCATCCTGTATGCCATGCACAAATCATCTGCTAGGAAATCTGTCGCATCAAAAGAGCCATTCCCAAAAAGCAGTAATCGGCTAGAGTCAAGAGGTTTGTATGGGTACTTCTTTCCGAAGAGGAACTTCATGTCCAGCATACATCCGATTGTAGGGGCCTGAAGCACCGAGCTTTGTAAGGCTTTCTGACAGTTCTCCAAGTCGTGCAACTAATTGAGGAAACTTTCGGCCACAAGCAAGAGTCTCAAAAACTCCTGAATCTGGGCCGTCGGCTGCTATAATCCCCATCAGCTTTCTGTAGATGCTACGGTGAGCTGCTGAAGGAGACCTCGACAGTAAGCTTGGGTTCGGAAAAACTTCCAAACCATCATGCCAGTAGTTCAACGCCATCACAACAATGTGTAAAACACGCTTGAGGTGCAGCCGTCTCCTAGCATGTAGCGAAAGCCCTGTCGGCATCCTGCCAAAAAAACTCCGTCTCCGGAATTGGCACAGGGAATAGCGCCGATGTCGAAACATCATAGTTCCGAGGCATATGTAATGAGGTTGTCAAAAATGCAGAAAATGGAGTACGAGTCCTCAAAATGTTTCGCAACAGGCCAGCACACCACTTCCAAAGTCAGTGCTTTAGGAACCCTGGAAAAGAGGTCATAGTCATTGCCAACAACCTCTGTGTCAGGAACCTTCTCAGGGAGGACGTCGTGGTTCCTCACCCGACGGTCAACCGGCGCTCTCTAAAAACGGGAACCATGAGAAGAGCACCTCACGCAACTAGAGCTTCTCGTCACTGGGTTCCCTCCTGCGCCGCCTCCGGGCGCTTCGGGAATCGTGGCTTTCTCTTTGGAGATCCGGCCGGGCTCCCTGTCCCTTCCTGCTTGTTTGACGGCGCAGCTTTTGCTTTCCCTTCCGGCTTCTTGTTTGCGAGGACT